TACTTTCCAGTCTAACCTATAGCCCTGTGATTCCCTAATGGTCTCCCATATAAACACTAATCCCAGGAGGGCTCCAAAAAAAAAATCAATATGGCAGCAGTAATCAAAGCCCTGCTCCTTTCTCTATCCTTCTCTCTCTACACCCTGAATTAGATCTGGGATATGTACAGAGGTTTGGAGGGTTAATAACTTGTGGCAGTGGAGTATTCAATGACATTCATAAAGAAATAAATTATGATCTTCCCGTTAGATATTTGAGATTAACTCATTCCCTATTGCCTAGACAGAATATCTTCAAATGTCTTAATCAGAGCATGGACTGGTGTTTTAAGTGATCAGTATCAGTGCCTTCTCTGGTCAGGGAAAAAAACAATAAAGGCTTTTTTAAAAAAAACACTGGAAGCCCTAAATGGACTTTTTGCTGAAAAAAGGAAAGCCTGAACTATATAGATTTGGGGATTAAAAAGGGTTAAAGATGGAGAGGAAAGAGTTTTCTGTGCAGATAGCAATAGTTCAGTCTTTTTTTCAACTCCAGAAAACATCAGAAACCGCTATGAGTCTGTCATATGCTCATTCCCCTACTAGGGTGCTTCCTCTGTTCTTTTCTGTTCATGGAACGCTTTTACGTTGTGATCTGTTCTTTCGGAAGAACAACTTTTACCATTGTTGTCCTCGGGGGGAGTTACTTCAGCAGTGGCAAAAACCATACTTATGGCTTTTGCATTCAACAGGAAATGGTTGTAGAAGAAACTGGTGAAAGTTTTGCTTCTTAGGTGAAATCTGATTCAAGCCAGCATTTTGGATAGCACTCATTCTATTACCTATTCTGCAGAACAGAATGGTTCAGCACATAATTATATAATCTTTTTTTCCCCTATCTCCATATACAGATGATGTTTTGGGGGCTACAGCCAGATTGGCCTGGTTTGCAGCCGTTTCTAAGAAGAAATGTGTGTACGCTGGTGCCTGCCAACCCAATCTCAAATAACCATATGTTTGTACTTTCTCTTACTTTGTTTTACCCTGGTTGTTTTCACTTTTTGATTTTCTGTTTGTAGCTTGTTTTTTTATGGAATATATTCCATACAAATAAAATTTGCTACTATGTTAAAATGTAATAGTAGTTTCAATGCCAGTGATGAGGATGTCCTTTCCAGAAGGCACCAAACTTGTCAGGTAGCTAAGCCAAGTCTCCTGCAACCCCAAAAACACAGGATCAGACTCATCAGAACACAAGGCTTTGGCGCCCCAGAAAAACAAGTGGAAAAGTTATTTTATTTTTAGTAATGTTTTCAGAATTCCTATTTTTGAATTGAAGTAGAAGTTTTTTTATTGTTTATATTGTTTCAGCTAACATCTCTATGGACTCTTTGCTTGACACTTTGGAAGCTGTTGTACCAGCCTTTCCTCATAGTTGATTTATAAAATGAATTAATAATCCACACTAAAAGAGATACAAGAAGGACACTTCAAAATATATAATTAGATACCCTTTAAGATATCCAGCTGATACCTGGCAGAATTGAAGTTCTCAAGTTTCTATCATCCCTGATTTTTTTTAATCTCATTCTGGCCAAAAATGAAGCCTCTTCAGGTATTTTGATATTTCCTCATTATGCCACTCTCCAACTTGAGCCAGGAATGTCTCGAAGAGAGGTTGTGGCCTGAAGGCTGATGATCAGTTATTGGGTAAAGTTCTGGTTGTTCCCCACTATTACCCTTGTACTGGTAGAAGACTATTCTCCTATGGACTCTCAGACAAGTAACTTCTTACACTGGGGTATGAAAAGATCAGACAAGTACTCTATCAAAGGATAGATGATATGGAGTACCAACTGGAGATCAATTGATGCCATATAACAGCAGAATCCAGATCTGAGGTTGCTCTCAAACCTCAGATTTGAAACTTAAATCAAGCCCACTTCATTTCTCAGATCCCCAATTGATATTGAATCAGGGCTGATTTCCACACATTTAGAAATTTCCTGTTGGTAGCCATGTTATGATATCGCTCTTGTGATGTAAGGCTGCAATTTGAGGAAGAGAGAGGGAAGTGAATCTCAAGTGCCAAACAGTACATTTGTTAGGCCAGGAAACAAAATTGATGAAGTTATTTCAGAGTCCATGGGTGGTATTATACATATATTGAAGAAAGATACTTTCCCCACAATTTCCATTACATCTTCTGAAGATCCGTATTATGAACAGAACTAGCAGAAAGGTTAAATCCCCACCCCATTCATGGCATGGGTCCTCGTTCAGTCTCTTAGTTTTCATAAAACAATCATTTTGTCCCTGTCAACAGCATTATTGTCAGGCTCCAACAAACCTTAGCAGAAATTCCTGTATGTTTAAGGTTGACCGCTAGGCTTGAAATTGCTTGAAGTCTCTCAGAGACACAACACAACAGAGCTACATAAGAATATTTATTGTAGTCTTCCAGGGGGGTGGAAAATGGCAGATTGATGTACCTCCACAAACAGCAGACATAACTCCAACGCCCGGGCATTAACCCTGTGTGAACAGCACCTCTCCTGATATGGAAAAGCTGGGAGATTACCCATTTGTGCTCTGAAAATCTGCTCCTTGTGAGGAGACCTGCAAGATCCAAAGAGATTCTGCGAGCTTCTTGTGAGTTTGACATCAGAGGCCACAGAAGAGACAGCAAGCTCATAGCCACAGCAGAGCCTGCAAAAGTACACTAGTTTGCAGAAGTCCCCAACTTCTTAAACACATTTGGAAGACAATTATTTGAAAGTTAAAGAGAGATCTTCAATGAAGCAGAGCAATTAATCCACCCGGTGAGTGTTCCTTCATCCCAGATTAAAGATAAGAGCAAAGGAACAATTTAAAGGATTTAGAAATACAGTAATTAAGGGAAAAAAGCTTGCCAAGAGTTTAAATTAAGAAAGTTAAAAATGGAGTAAGGGGCAATTCAGTTTGGATTTACTGATTTTAATGTATTTTTTAAAAATAATTGCTCTGGAAACTACTGATTTTCAGTTTGATTCACACAACAGTATTATGATTGAATACTTCCTAAATATCATACACATGATTATTGCATGTGTTAGCCCTTTAAGGTAATCCAGACAAAAAGCACAACTATGAGTACTAACTCTACCTTTATTGAAAGGTTACATTAACAGAATCTCACAAGACTGAAAGTATTTCTCCCTTCCTCTCCTGAAACACGTCCCATGCCCCTCTCCTTCTGTGGACTGTGATATCTTTTACATGACATTTGCCAAGTCTATGGCTCTTCCTCCTGTCTCCCAAGTTTATTCCTACATACCATTACAGTATGTGCATATACCATACAGCTTGAATGTGGCCCCAAACACCTCCAAAAGTTGCTATAAAATTGTAATGTTTAATATGAAGGAATTAGGAAATTTATTAACTTTTTATTAACTTATTTATTTATTACCTTATTAATTTAGTACATTCATTAACATATTATTTATTAATTTATTAAATTTATATTAAGAAATATAATTTAAATTTAATTAATTTAATTAATATTTAAAATAATTTTAATTTTTTTCTATCTCCATTCATTTCTTTGTTCTGTGCTACCTACTCCTACAGTAAGTGTGGCCCTGAATAAGCTACATTTCTTTGGAAGGTCACAAATGGGGTCATCTTCCTGCAGATGGTAATCTTGACATAGTTCTTATAATATATGGACATTACTTTTGCATAAGAGCAGCAGACTAGCATGCTATCTTTTAATTAAACAATTTACATCACATTATGCCTCCCAACAAACATTCTTTGGAGATCTGATGGTAAAACCTATTATTATCTCAAATCACTATGATTCAACCTTAGTCTCTCCAAAACTCACATATATTTTAAAGGTTTTCAGTAGAAGTATGTTGACAAGCATTTATGGATGGTCCCCGAGGCAACAGGGAAGGCAAAATTGCAGCTTGGTGGACATTAATATCTCATTTAAAAGAAAAGAGAGAGTTTGCCAGAAAAAGAAGGCCAATATCTGCATAGAAATGGACATGACATTCTTCATGCTTTCAGCGTGGTGGTTGCTTGTATCTCCAGGCAAGTCATATGACATTATATGCAAACTGAGCAATCCCTTTAAGAAACCACAAGAATATTTTCAGAAAGGTGACTTCATAATTGGTGGGGTTGCTTCTCAGTTCTATCCATTCTCAGATACAATAGACTTCAAGCGATACCCAAATCCATGGCTTTTTGAGTCACCGGTGTAAGTATCTGTCTATCAATCTATCTGCTCTCTTAAAATTTATTGAGTGTTCTCAGGGTGAAAAATATACCCTATAGTTTGTAGGGCAGAAGTCTCCAATGTTGAAGACCAGTGCACACATTTACAATTTAGAAGCCATCTTAAGATTTTAAGCTATCTAAAAATCATTGAATGGGGACAGTCATGAAGGCAAACACAGAACTGAACTACAACCACCCACCTTTTTGTTTTCTAAGAATATCTCTGGGTTCAGTGTGGAACCCTGAATTCTTGTTAGAAAAGTTATCTTGAAGCCAGTATTTTGCTTTGTAACTTGTTATATTCCCATATACTGTTTTAATTAAAAGAATTTTAAAATCAAATTAGGTAGAGCAGAGAGTTTGGCAGGGACCAAGGAACATAGTGATAGGAATATTGTCACCTCCAGGATTCAGTTTATGGGACATATATAATTTCTCATAGTAGTGTTTAATCTTTACTTTTTGCATTACAAATGAAAAGAGAAGAGTAACTGAAGCATGCCATTCTGGAATATATGTAAGCTGAGTTATATACTGTCAATATACTTTAAGGTAATATCCTTGATATTGCATCTGTTTGCCCTCTCATTCACTCTTCTCTGTATTTTTCTGATTTATTTTCTGTATTACCTCACTTTTGCCTGCAATTTTCATCTCCTTATTTCTTCTCCATGTTTTCTTTTATCTTCCTTTTAATCTCCTTGTAGTATGACCATTTGATAAAGAATACAACTTCTCATTCCAGTGAAATGCCAATAAACAATCAACATATCCTCTCCTTAGTATATGCAGTAAAGGAGATCAATAGGAACCCAAATATCTTACCAAACATCAGCATTGGATTCCACATCTCTAACGGTTATATTGATGCAAGGATGATATATCTGAACACCTTGAAGCTTCTATCCAGCCAGGAAAGGACTGTCCCTAATTACAGTTGTGAGAAAAGGAATAAGTTACTAGTTGTTATTGGGGAATCTGACTCCGAAAACTCACTTCTGATGGCCAACATCTTAATCACCTACAAGATTCCACAGGTATGATATGTATATAAGAAAGTTTGATTTCCTGGTTTGCGCTCTTTCTTAGCCCTTTCATAGTCCTCACAGCAGTTCTTAGAAAACCAAGGAAAAAGAATGTGGAAAAATTTGATTTGCAATCAGTGGCCAGCACTTGATTGTTTATCTAAAATTCCCTTTATAGCTACTAAAATTCCGTTAATAGCTGGTGTGCAAAAATGGAAGGTTCTAAAGAGATTTCAGGTTTATATACATGTATGGCAAATACTATAAAATACAAATGCATCAAAATAATATATATGATTTAAATACTTTTAAATAAATACACACGTCTGAATACTCAGTCAAGGTTTGTTTTGTTTCTTATATTACATTCATTCTGCAGCAAAACAGAGTTTTCAAATGCACCAAATATGTAACATTCACACTTCAAAAATTCAAGACAGATTTTTTTTCCCCACATGAATATTCATTCATTTGGGTAACTGCAGAACATTCATCATTATTTATCAGATGCTTTATCATTAGAGACGAAACAAAATGGACAGAGTTGTAAATTTATTCTTCCCATGAAGGTGGAGAATTAGAACTGTTAGCATAGTTATAAAATAAGACACACCCGCATACACACATACATGAAGGCTTTCCCTTTAAAACCATGCAACATAAAAATACTTCATAATTATGGTATTTGATTAAATAGTCAAGATAAGATGTAGAATACTATCACAAAATTACAAGGAAGAAGCCCTCCAGTTCAAATCCCCCTTTAGCTCTAAATTTATTCTATCAAAACTAAAAATATGCAGAAAAGTGATTTACCTGCATTTTAACTAATTTATTAAGAGGATAGAAATGTCCTGCTTCATATATACAACAGCAATATAATCTAATTAAATGATACATAGGGATACATGAACTTTTATATGTAGACTTCTGTAAGAGAATTTAGAAAATAAACTAATAAATAAAAGATAAAGATGATACAGAATACTATTTGATATGGGATAGATTTTATCAATGGCTTGATAAAAGAGGTGGAAGTTAGAAGTTAGAAGATGACTACTATACATGAGTAATATATGAACTATCTTGATAGCTTAAGTATTATTGTTATTGTAGTTAAAAGATGGTAAACGATCTATCTATGGGATAGATTTTATCAATGGCTTGATAAAAGAGGTGGAAGTTAGAAGTTAGAAGATGACTACTATACATGAGTAATATATGAACTATCTTGATAGCTTAAGTATTATTGTTATTGTAGTTAAAAGATGGTAAACGATCTATCTTGATAGATGAGTGGATAGGATTATTAATTATAGAAGCATTATTAGACTATGTTAATCTTATTATTATTGTTGTGAGTTGACCAATGATCTATATGAAGAACTACTTTGATACTTTAAATATTGTAAGCAAAAGATGAACTGTTATGATGTGAGATAAATTAATGTTAGGAGCAATACTCTGACATATTATTACTATTATTATTGTTAAAACAGGGTGAATGATTTATGTAGCTGAGAAGGGAATCAGTTGACACAATGTTTTTCTGAGCATTGAATATTGTAAGCAAAAGATGAACTGTTATGATGTGAGATAAATTAATGTTAGGAGCAATACTCTGACATATTATTACTATTATTATTGTTAAAACAGGGTGAATGATTTATGTAGCTGAGAAGGGAATCAGTTGACACAATGTTTTTCTGAGCATTGATATATAAATAAATTTTAAAAAAGAATATAAACTAATAAACTGTTTATCCTATTTTTTTTAAAAAAAGCTTCTTTTTAACTTAGGTTGCTTATTGCTTTTTTGCTGTAGAGAAGCATGCTGAAAACAAGATTCCTTACTTCTATCGTATGGTTCCTGGTGAAGCACAGCAGTATCATGGAATTGTCCAGTTGCTCCTGCATTTCCACTGGACATGGGTTGGAATTGTTGTAACAAATTCAGATAAAGGAGAGAGTGTTATGACAACGATGCTACCAATGTTCTCCCAGCATGGGATTTGTACAGCTTTCACAGGAAAAATACAACCCTTAACTGATTTTGTTCACATTTTGCATTTGATGCAGCATATTCAGAGCGTGACCCATTTTCTCAAAAATATTACAACTGATGTAATTGTCATGTACGCAGATACTCAGACAATGTGGAGCTTCAAAAACATGTTACAGTTGGGAGAAGTAACTTTAGGTAAGGTGTGGATTATCACAGCTCATTGGGACTTTGGATCACCAACATTTCTCAAAAAGATGGGAATAGAAATTTTCCACGGTGCTTTATCCTTTGCGATTCAAATTAATCAGGTGCCAGAGTTTCAGCCTTTCCTTCAGCTTCTAAATGTTCATTGGCCAAAAGAGGATGGCATTTCCAAGTTCATTTGGCAGAAGGACTGTTTGATACCTTACTTTCATATGTATCAGGAAAACAAGGAAAACTGTAGTTGGGAGGGAAGTCTAGAAAACATATCAGAGTCTTTTTTTCAAATAAGCATGACTGGTCAAAGCTACAGCATCTACAATTCTGTATACGCCATTGCTCATGTTTTACATAACTTGGAGTTGTCTAGATTTAGGTTGAAACCAACTACATATAGAGAAAGAATGGAGCATCTGAATCTAGAACCTTGGAAGGTAAGAAAACAACATAAGTGCCCTATTTATTGAGGTGTGTTTCTTTATTTTCCCATTCTTATACTGCCATATAACCAACAATCCTGCATGGAAAATAAATAATAGATAAAATAATGCATACTATAGGATATGATACAAAATACCAGAATACAGATGGGGAACTTTTGTTCCCATTTCTTATGTAGTAGGACCAAAGTTCCCATCATCTCTCACCACAAGCTATGCTTGCTGGTGTTGTTACAAGTTAAATTCCATCAACTTCCACAGACAGCTTTAGATTCTTCATTTCTACAAGAACAGATGCATAATTCATCAGCAAGCAACTTTTAGTGAAGCACATGCTGTGACACACACAGAGACAGAGACAGAGGTAGAGACAGAGGTAGAGATAGATCCATAGGACAGGAATTAAACCTACCAAAGAAATGATTGTCTGCCATACTGTAAATGTTTTATTTCTTCCAAATCAGCTACACCATTTCCTGAGCAGAATCTCATTTAACAACAGTGTTGGAGACCATGTGTCTTTCAATGAAAATGGTGAATTAAGATCTGGTTACGATATTACAAATTTGATTGGTTTCCCAAACAAGTCCTTTTTAAATATCAAGGTAGGAAGGATTGATCCAGAGGCTTCATCAGGCAAGCAGTTCATCATTAATGAAGACCTCATTGTATGGCACAAAGAGTTTAACAAGGTGAGACCAAAGTATGAGTTCTAGGATACAAATTCAAATGGGGGAGGTATTCCTAAATTGATTCTTGACATTCATCCTTTACAACATAGAGTGATGAATGCTACTGATATAGTTCCTCTCTTAATGAAGCAGTAGTTTTATAAAATATACCATTCTGAAATTTTCTTCTGCATGTTGTCAACCTTTATCCTTTCATTTGATGGAAAATAAACAGCTTTCAAAGTTTTCTTCAAAAGCAATAAAACGTTGGTGGGGTATCACATACTCAAGAGGCATGTGTGTCCTGTCTTTATTGTAACAGAACTCTCCACTGATCTGCAGGGTTCCACAAGGCTCTGAAAAGCCTTAATCTCTCATTCCCACTGTTAATATGGGGGGGGGGGGTAGAGAGAGAGAGAGAATGGAGAGAAAATACTGCCAACATTTGGCCCTTTTGCAGCAGATTTCAGCATCATGGACTCTGCGTGCTGGGGGCTACACAGAGGCTAACAGTTGCTTACTTTTGTTATAAGAGAATGCTTTCCTTTTTTCAGAAGAGGAAACAGCAATAGGCAGGTATGGTGTACAGTGATGGAGAAGTGAATTACAAGAAACAACAAGAACACCCAGCAGCACCTTTGTAGCAATAAAATAATCTCAACATCCACATATGAATCTGGAGATATTTTTTTTAACACAGTGGAAAAACATTGTACTTACTAGCATTAGAATTAATTTCAACATCCACCAATAAGAGTTTGGATTCAAGAACAGTGCCACTCCAATTCTTTCAGCGTGTCAGTCCTTGTGCCTCACATTTACCTACAGACTTTACTTTCACACAAATTAAAATTATAAATTGGGTAAGAGTGAAATTTTGTTGAGGCAAGAGAATGAGAATATGATTCTATTAAGACAGTAATACTAAGAATCCTGGGAGAGCATTTCGGGAACCATAGTTTGGTTGCATTTTTCTGCCAGGTCCTAAAACAGGGCTCCAGATCTCACAATCAGTCACTATATCTGCTTTTCCACCAGCTGCAACAGCAACTATTGGGGTTGGGAAGTCCTGATTGTGGAACGACAGATTTGGAGTAAGAGGTTCAGGAATGAAGTGGAATACTGTATCCGAAAGATCCAATGGACACTTGGGATACCTCTGTCCCAGGAAAATATCTAGAAGAGCTTAAGGGGTGGGGGGAAGGGAAGAAAGGGTCAAAGAAATAAAAGCATATAGATAATGCTAGACCATGCCAAAATAAGAACGTTCCCACTTGATATAAGGACTAAAATAATGTTTCAAGCATTAAATTCTACAGTTTTCTATTTATCCATAGGTGGCACCAACTGCTGTCTGCAATGAAAATTGTCATCCAGGTTACAGCAGGAAAAAGCAAGAGGGGAAGCCATTTTGTTGCTTTGATTGTGTTCCATGTCCAGGTGGGAAGATTTCAGATAAGAAAGGTAGGAATTCTTCCTTCCCTTTTACTAAGAGACAGTTTGGTGTAATGGTGCCGGATTAGAACCTGAAAGACTAAGAGTTCTAATCCCACTTTAGGCATGAAAGAATGATAGGTGATTCTGGATCAATCTCTCTGTGTGTGCTAGGAAAAACCTCTGAACAATGTTACTAAGAAAACTGCCAGGACCTGTTCCTGGGGTCACCAGGAGTCAAGTTTGACTCAAAAGACTATAACAAAAACACATCACACAAAGTGTTGAAGAACCTCCTATTGTTTCATGGGGCACATGTAATTCAAAGGATTTAAGAGGGAACTTGGCAGGGGAGAGTCTCTAGGAAATTCCAAACTGGGAGAAATATAAAACTTGGTGGGATATTCAAAAACTAATTTAATTTAAGACATCTTTTACTTTTTTATTGGTAGGGGTTATTGATGGAAATTGTATATGCCTTCCATAATTACCTTTTTAAAAAATTCATAAGCAAGTAGCAGTAGGAAATAAATCACAATGAAACAATAGTTCTAATTAATCATATATCCAAACACAATAATCATATATCCAAAACTCAATTGGGAATTAAGAGATTTTTTTCCTTCATATACTTACTTTTATTTATGGATGTAATTAAAAAAAAAAACAGTTGTTTCACATGAAGGCTGTGAAACCTCAGGCCCTTGGATTGCATCTGGACCAAAATCTGGTTATTTGTGGCCCTTGGCATCCCCTCTGACCATGGTTGCTGAAAGCAACTATTTTTATTTTGAGACTGGAAATACATGAAAATTGGAGTGTAAGCCATAAAATAAATATATTATGGTTTTAAAAGAAAGAAAAGATGTCCCCTTCCCCGCCCCCAAACAAAACCCTTGCAAATAAACCAGTCCCAACCCCATGTTTGATATGGCTTCACTCATGATCCTTCCAAAAAGGTTTAGTCCTTGGCCACAAAACAGTTGTTCGCCCCTACTTTACATAAAAGAAGTAAACAAAAAAAAAAGTTTTTTGTATTTCAAATACAAAATATAATTTAGATGGAATTAAATATGGGAAACACCACTGCCAAAGTTTATAACTTTCAAACATTATATGCTATATAAAGAATGTAACCCAACAAAGTCTCAAGGTAAGTGACTGTATTTCTTTTATAGATTGTAATCTCATGCCATTTCCTCTTTTGGTCTACAAAGAAAAAGATGCATTTTGGTTGTGTTCCTTCTCATTTTTCCAAAGGCAATTTCATCCCATTCTTATTCTTCTTCAGTTTGCAAATGTTTTATAAAAGCTCTTTATAATTTGCATAGATCAGAAGCCTATTTCTCCTGATATACTTTTGTCCTACTTATTTTGCCACATACTCATTCACCTGTTTATTTTCCCCTAACATACACAGTTTTGAACATCTGAGTTAAAAAAAATAAATAAATAGACCATGGATGTTAAAACTGAGAAAAGGGTGAACATCCAAGTGCGAACAGAGATAAGTGCAGACCATATTATGTACAAGTGAACTTGTACTTATAGTTGCTGGGTCTCTTTGCTGCCCATCTTGAATTCTACAGAGCAAAGCCTATAAAGTATCATGAAGGTCCAGTCTAAGTCTCCATATAGTCTTGGCTATAGGAAGATCTGTGTAAAAGAAATAACTATGCTTTGCTTGGCAGACTTTGCAATATAATCTGTTCTATTCTTCAGATATGGACGACTGTTTCAAATGTCCAGAAGAGCAATATCCCAACAGACATCAAGATAAATGCCTGCCAAAGGGTTTAAACTTTCTGACTTACAATGAAGTTTTGGGTATCAGTTTAGCCCTTTTAGCTTGTTCTTTTGCTCTGCTCACGACTGCAGTGCTTGGAATCTTCATTAAGCACAGGAATACTCCCATTGTCAAAGCCAACAATCGGGATCTCTCTTATCTTCTCCTAATTTCCCTTCTGCTCTGCTTCCTCTCCTCTTTGCTGTTCATCGGCCGTCCTGGGAAAGTGATCTGCCCTTTACGACAAATGGCTTTTGCTATTATTTTCTCAGTCGCTATCTCTTGTGTATTGGCAAAAACCATCACTGTAGTTCTGGCTTTTATGGCCACTAAGCCAGGATCAATGATAAAGAAATGGGTAGGAAAAAAATTGTCAAATTCCATTGTTCTTTTTGGCTCCCTAATTCAGATAGGGATTTGTGTTTCCTGGCTATATACAGCTTGCCCTTACCCAAATATGGACATGCTCTCCTTAAGTGAAGAAATTGTACTTGAGTGTAACAAAGGATCCGTTCTTCTGTTTTACTGTATTCTCAGCTATCTAGGGTCTCTGGCTATTGTCAGCTTTATTATGGCTTTTCTGGCCAGGAAGTTGCCCAGTAGTTTCAATGAAGCCAAATTCATAACCTTCAGCATGTTGGTCTTTTGCAATGTTTGGTTGTCCTTTGTTCCAACATACCTAAGCACCAAGGGAAAATATATGGTGGCTGTGGAGATCTTTGCTTTCTTGAGTTCCAGTGCTGGATTACTTGGTTGTATTTTCCTCCCCAAGTGTTACATAATTGTCCTGAGGCCTGAACTAAATAAAAAGAGCCAACTAACAAGGAGAAATATGGGCTATGGGGGTTGATTATAAGAACACTTAATAAAAAATGTAAAGATTCAAGATTTCTAATCTATGTTGGCCTTTGTTTGCTTGTTGGGTCAGATTAATTTGCCAAAGAAAAAGACTGAGATTCATTCAGAAGTGAAAGAGAACAAAATAATATGTTTCTGAGATAAATTCTGTATTCCATGAGGAACTTGTTTTCTGGTGTGTATAATAAAATTTTCTTAGTTAAAGCGACTGGCTTCTAACCCAGTCCTGAAGTTTCCTCAGGTGTAAGAACAGATGTTGTCCATAAAAGATGAAAACAAGATGGACAATGTATCGATATAGTATTGCTTTATGGTTTGTTTTGTGATTGTTTATTTTATGTGATTTCAATGGCTGTTAGCTATAACCAGTGAAAAGGTTTATTTGTGATAAGAGTTCTTCTCAGGCATCCAAAACACTAATTATGGAGAGGGCACAAGAATTACAGCACCAGTATGGTGTCCTCTTCTCCTGAACTTGCCAGGTTGAATTAGATCATCTGAAAGGAAATTGTATTAATGCATATGATAACTATGTTCATCCAAAAGCACTAGCAAACTCTTGTCTTTTGAACACCTGAAAATGGTCCACAAGGAAAAGATATTAACATTTTCCAATTTTTCTCTTAAGTGGCATATACCACTCATGTGACTGTGTCCCGAGAATTGCAATCCAAGTCAAATAAAGGAAGGAAGGGGGAAAAAAAACAATTTTATTGTTGTAAGTATTCTTTCTATGGTTCAGAAAAGAATATTTCCAACCAAATGGGAAGGCAAAACAATATGCATTCCTACCAAGCACATAAAAAATGGGGAATCTACTTTCCATATGGTTCTTTGAGGGCCTGGTTATCTTTTATAGAGCTCTGACATTTTAGATTAAGACATCCTTGAGCTCAGCCTGACTCCTAGGAACTTCATGGACAAAATCATGTTGTTTTCTGGGGAGCAGTATATCAGCAGTTTGTGATTGTCTTTTTCCAGGCTGTATTTTCAACTTTCCAGTCTAACACACTGCCTTACACTTCTTTGGTGGTCTCCCATCCAACTACTAAAGCTCAACCCGCATTTAGATTCCATGCCCAAGCAAGGGTAATTAAGTGTCCTCACCTCCTGAGACAGGTTCTCAATTTAGTGTGTAATTGCCTTATCACCAAAATAAGGACAGCAATCATTTTTTCAGGACCTATATGGATGATGTCAGCCTTTATGCACCCTTCTCTAACCATAAATTTGTCCTTCAGTACATTTTCTGGCTATGTTTTGAAAGTAGCATTTTCTTTTACTGTCACCATGAGTGTCCTTGTCCATTTCAGTTGGAACACTTCCTTACAGCGTAGCTCAGGCAGTTCATTTTCTCCTTCACAGAGGAAGGAATGCCCCTTCAATTAAGGCAACTGTTACCCTGATCTAAGAAATGCCAAGACCTTACCTTTGTTATTAATAGTAAAATGTCACAGTAGCATTGTATGTAAGAAGGTGTTGACTTAAAAACCCAGCAGATTTAGTTTAGTTAGTATCTTCTTTACTTCAGCTAGCTAAATAACTTTTCCTAGTTATCCTTAAAAAAAAAAGAATTGCAGGTTTCCACTTTTTTTAAAAAAAAAAAGATCACATGAGATCAAAGGATTTTAACTTAAGTAGCTGGAGAAACGATGAAATAGAGGACTGATTAAGGGCCATCAAGTCAGGTTTGACTCTGAACAACTACATATAGATTTCATCCATGATGATCTGTCACTAACCTTGTCCTTCAGCTCTTCCAATAGCACCCCCATCACTATTGTAACTGAGTCTATCCACCTTTCTGCTGGTCATCCTCTTCTTCTCTTTCCTTCCACCTTTTCCAGCATTAGAGCCTTCTCCTAGAGCTAGGTCTTGACATAATGTGCCTGAAATAGGATAATTTGAGCCTGGTCATTTGTGTCTTGAGTGGGAATTCTGAGATGATTTGTTTGATGACCCATGGGTTTGTTTTCTTGGATGTTCAAGTTCAAAAGTGTCAACACTATCTTGCTTCTTCAAAGTCCAACTTGCTTCCATAGAGTGTCACCCTGCACTTATTTAGGTTTTGAAGGGCAGGGCAGGGCAGGGCAGGGCAGGGCAGGGCAGGGCAG